AAATCATACCACACTTGATTCCCAAGTATTTAATTACATATTATCATGGGTAACTACTAATCGGCTCCAATTATGCAATCTTATTTTATTGCTGTTGGAAACACATTTATAGCTACTATATAATGTGTATATTTAAGTCAATATTTGAATAAACAGTCTGGAAAACACATCATTTGTACCCAGATTTGGTGACTAGTGTGATTATCATCTGCCACCTGCTGGAAATAGCTGTGATATCTCAACGAAGTTCCACAGATGGAAGGTCTGGTCACTCATCGAACAAGCAGAAATGTCAAAAGGCAAAATATGCTTCTTGTACACAGGAACTTATTCCTCTTGCACCCAATGCACTAGGAAAGTTTACCTTGCACATGGGGTATTTCCATGCGTTTTTGACAGCCCACTGGAAATGGCACAATTACAGGTCCCCACATGCCATCCTCATAAAGGAGCTCTTCCCCTACACAGTATAGTCTAGCACTGTATTTGAACCTCATTTGAAGAGCCTGACCATTCTGGCTTCATGGTGGTCCATAAAACCCCCGAGGAGAACAAAACCTGCCTGTCCAAGACATCTGCTCTCACTCAAAAAGAAGGGAGAGGGTTTGGATGAGGAGCGCCAGAACCTTGCAGCTTGCTGCCTCCGTGCCAGCAAACCAAAGTAAGTAATTCAAGTAAACCAGAGGGTAAATCCAAAGGCAGCAGTGCAAGACTCGCCTTCTTCTCTTTCTTGTGTGGAACAGTCTGAATAGTAGCAGGATGCACAGGTAAGACTTGTCAGTGCGATGGCTTCTTGTGTCTGACTGGCCTATGACAGGACTAATTGTACTGGTGTAATTTTGCAGTTGGCAGGTATCCCCAAGCCAGTGGGGAGAGAGACAGGTACAACTAGATTAGTGCTTCAGACCTTTTTTCTCCCCAAAATCATACCCATACCCTTAAGCAGATGACTTCTGTGTGCCCAACAGGTTTAGAACAGCAGAGGGTTTATGTTTAGATAGTGCTTGCATTCAGAAAAACAGTGCCTTTCTCTGAGTACCTTTTAAAGGAGGAGACTCAAAAATGAAGATGGGATACAAATGATTTTTGAAGGTTATCCAGGTCTGTGGGATGGAGTAGAGAAAGATAGATGAAAGGAAAACACACACCCAAGGACCTAATAAAACTGTAACTAGTTCCTCATTTTCTGCACTAACTTGTTTTAGCCATTAGAAGCAATCAGATATTTATAGCAGTAAAAATTAATATAAGCCCTGAAAGCAATGTCACAAATCTAAAACACTAAGCAGCACATTAGCAAGAATTAATACTGGCACCTGCTATCACACGCCTCCTACACAGTGAAAGGGCCAGGCCTGCCTGAGGTGTGCACACAGAGGCACGTGTGTCCTACTGCAGTGTACAGCATTAACATGAGCAATATCACAGTCTATTCCCGTAACACATGTGCACCACCTACAAACACACAAAACAATGCTTCTCTTGGCATCTGCTCTTAGCCAAAAACCTTTACTGCTTCACTGTGCTTTTTCAGTTTTTAGGAGGCTGCTATACTTCAGGCGCCTCCAAGTTTTCTCCTCTGTGCTGCTCTTAGGAGGCTACCACCTCTCTTCCAGCAATGTAGACCTTGTCTGCACTGACAAATTGCCCTCATCCCAGCCACAAATTTAGCTACGCCTCATGCTGACAAGTAGGCAGAGGTTTGCTCTCGTAAAGCCAGACAAGGGAAAGACTCACAAAGTAGAACGCTGCCAGACAAAGATTCGGCAACACCCCCAGCCTGCACACAGCAGACAACTTACCATCTTTGCTGCACCCATTGCTGCAGTGATCATTGTGTCCAGGAGAACACATAGCTGAATGAAAATGCTCACCTTGGAGCGGATGGGCCTCCTGGGCCAATTCACCCACCCCTCTGTGCCAGGATATGCTGGCCTCTGGCTACAGACAGGCTTTTCAACAGTTACAGGACCTTCTGGGGTTACCATGAAAGGGATCCCCTCCTCAGGCAAAGGTGGAGGACAGGGCCCTGGCCTCTTCTCTGTGTACACACTCCCTAGCACCCACACTGTAAGACCAGCCTTCCTCAAAAAGCTAAGGAGTATACTGCACAAGCAAACAGACCTCAATGCAGAAGCTCAGTCAATCATCCAAGAGTTCTCTCGTCTCCCTCTGTACCCTCCTCCCATGTTAAAACCACTGAGGAAAATCACTTATCAGCACTAATCTACTTGGCTTTTTGCTGTAGACCAAGGAAATCCTGGATCTTACCAAACATTGTCCAAAAGATTTTAAATTGTGTATGTAGATAGATGTATAGATAAATAAAACTCCTTATAATTATGGCAATGTTTTCCCTTCCTCTTCCTCTCTTCCCACCCCCTTTCCCTTCCCTAAATTTCTCAGACAATAAGTGGGAAACAACCTTTTTTTTTTTTTTTTTTCCCAGCCAAAAATTAATTCCCACTCAAAGATTCCAAAAAGGGTCAAGTCTAAAGGAAGCATCTGGTAAATCTGCTTTTGTATTGCAGTGGGAGCAATAACCCTCACGTCCCCTTCCCTTTGCACCACTCAGCGCAGCAAGCACTCATGCCACACTGGGAAAAGTTTGCTCCACTACACATGTATGCACAAAGCCAGAGCCTGCCTGAATGCAGGCAGCCCTTAGATGGAAGCAGCTAGGTATGCAGCATGCACAGGGAGAGCCGGCCCCACTCATCCCACCAGGTTTTCCAGTTGCTTTTTTTATCCCCCTGACTACGGATGGACTCTTCAGCTACTCAGTGGAGTGGTTTGCTGGTGAGTTACATGATAAGGGTGTGTGCTTGCAGGGTTAAAGTCACAGCATTGGATCCTATCATGTATCATACCGAACTGACCAAAACAATATTGGCTTCTCACAGCATCTCCAATTGCTCATGCAGGGACAGGCAGTGAATGATGGGAGACTGGCCCTGATCCTCAAACACACCCACAAGTGACTCCAGTCCTGCAGTTCAGCCTGTGCATGCACTCAAAGTCAGTCACAGAAAAACACTTCATAAAATAAAGCGAGAAATTGCCATAACTTTAAAATAACCAGGAAAGTTGTCAACAAAAAACAGGACTCACTTTCCTTGTCACACATACAGAGATCCCTTAAAGCTTTAGGACATGTACACCCAGCTTCTTATATTTTCTTACTATATATATATATATATACAAAGTTCTCAGCAAAAGCAAACCATGGAAAAGGTACTTCTGGTCATGGTGAGCAACAGTACCTCCAAAGACATTGATCTATATTAGGTGTGCAGTGAGAGAAGCAGCATATTCTCTGACTTACTCAGTAACTGGGCTGTAAGCATAAGCAGCTACTGTAGCTGGTAGTTCCTAAGCCATCCCAAGCTCTTCTGGCAGACAGTGGGAGAGGAAAGGGCAGCAACTCACTAATTTTGCAACATAGTTCAAGGGGGAAGTAACCCAAGATTCAAATTCCTATCGGCGATACCACCCACAGAGCTTCCAGCCTTATATTTTATCTGCATAGGTTTTCTTAAAAATCAGACCAAAAGCAAAAAGAGACTAAAAAACATACCCAGAAATCTACATGATCCATAGGGTGCTAAGATCTCAGAAAAGAAGCTCAGCACACTCCAAGATTGACCTATTAGAAAAGTAGCTTGGTATTTATTATTAATGACCTTGGTTTTATGCTGCAGAAAACAGTGTTCTCTCTGCTTTATGTGAAAACTAAATGTAGACATGTATACATTGGAAAGTGGATGTATAGTGGAAAATGCATTTTTTTCCAAAATCATCTGATGTTCATTATCTACTTATTTCTCATTTCTTTATCAGCAGGTAATACCTTTTGCTATGAAGGAATTATATGCAAGTCTTTCTGCACATAACATGGAAATTCCCATGGCTGTCACTTCATAAAATTGTATACAGAATAAAAGTTTCATAAATATCTGCTTTATCTTGCAGAGGTAGTAGGTCCAGTCCTCTAACTTGTTAAGGATACTTCACATGACTGCTTTGACTAAGCAGTGAAATGCCACTCTGAAGAGCCCCTGTTGTAGCTGTAAGCTTAGGCTGTGAAATTAGGAGAGGTAGGACCTGCTGTCTTCCAGCACCATCTTCTATTAGAAAGGACCTGCTGGACCTTAGGTAGCTCAACACAAAGACAGCCAATTTTGAAACTGTTGAGTTCTACTTTCCTTACCAGAAAACAAAACAAAAAAACCACAGAAACAACAAAAACCCATCCAAAACCCAGCTGAGAATGAAAGCATATCTGGTCCACAGTTTCTAAGGGCAGAGAGAGAACAGGCAACCACAGAGGAGGTTTAAAGCCACTTCCTTTCTTTCACAAACTTTAATTGAGAAGCAGTTTGGCCATGTTTCCATCAATGTAAGAGGCTATATTTTCCTTATATTTTCAGGACTTCATCAAAGTCAATGAAATCATAATGAAAACAGTGCCTTTTGGATCTGTCCATAACAGATCATTACACATGTAGCATTTAAAAGACTGAGGCCAAGACACTGCCAAGCAAATGAGGGACAAGCATTTCTATTTGTTCAGGAGCAAAATGTAATTCTATTATGTGCCTAGATAGATTTTACATGTATTTGAAGAAATGCATTTCAGCTCTTTTTTTATGTTTACTGACATTTTCCACATCTTCCTGTTACATTAACAGAAAAATAGTAAGAACCCAAGCGGCTGAAGAGACACTTTTCAATTGCTTCCATCATTTGTCTGAAAATCAGAGTACTTGCCTTACAGTTCAAAGTTAGCACGTATCAAGGCTTTAAATTTATCTGCTTTCATTGTTTAAGTAAGTGCCATTTCACAGCAACTAGAATAAAAATCACAACTCCTATACCCGACTGCACATTGCTACTGAAATGCAAAAGTTAACCAAGATAAAGATTCAAGAGTGCAGTAGCTCTGATTCTGTGTTGGGTAGCTGTGACAGTGTGTTGCTGTTCTCCTGCACCCAGAGGAGATGCTGTATAAGAACAACCTAGACGAACAGCCTCGTGCTAAAATGGAATATCCCCTGGTACATCCTTGTACAGACCCTTTCTGGCTAGTGAATTTTGGTACTGTCAGTCAAAGGTTCCTTACTTCCCAGTGCTTCTATACAGCATGTATTACCCTACCTATTTTAAAAGACCCATGACAGCTGCAAGCTGTAATTCAAGTCTTCTCCTTAGGAACTACAGACCTTACCATGAAAATGCATAAGCCAAAAGCAGTGCTTTTCAGCAGACTGCCAGACCCAGCTTCAGGGTGCTCCACACCATGGGGACAGAAACATCAAATGAACTGTGCCACCTAAAGCCCAGCTTTGGAGGAGGCCAAGCCACACTTAAATGAGCAGAAGCACCTTTTCCATTTTTAGGTGGGCCTGAAAAAACGTGTTTGCCCATGTATCTCCTTGCCAAATATTGCCTACAAAGAAAGCAAGCCAAGGTGGCCCTGAGTGAGAGCCAGTGGTCAGCTTCGTAAATAGTTAGCATTTGGAAATCTGTCTGAGCTTTCTGTAATTGTTAGCAATCAGATGGCATGCAGACAAAGAAAGGTGAAAAGGCTGTTAAAAACCAGAACTGTTTCACTATGAACACATTTGCTGTGGCTTTTGAAAAGTGCATATTTATCGATGAAAAAAAACCTGTTTGAAACAAGTTACTGCAGTGCAAAACATGACACATCCCACTGTGGTTTGCTCAAAGCATTACTGAGGCATACTGTTCAAGGCTTGGCAAATATAGCCCATTATACAGTTCTTTACATATTTATGGTAGTGGGTAAAGCATTGCTTATAGAATCAAAGAATGGTTTGGGTTGGAATGGACCTTAAAGACCATCCAGTTCCAACCCCCCTGCCACAGGCAGGGACACCTTCCACTAGACCAGGTTGCTCCAAGCCCCATCCAGCCTGACCTTGAGCACTGCCAGGGATGGGGCAGCCACAGCTTCTCTGGGCAGCCTGTGCCTCACCACTGTCATAGTAAAGAATTTCTTCCTTATATCTAATCTGACTAATAACTTAACACCATCTTTTCTTCACCAGTGGGAGGTAGATCTGGATAGTGAAGTATAATTGGTAATCTATTTTATATATGAATAAAATACTTTTTGGAATGCTGTGCTATAACATTCAGTTCCTGTTTGCTGCTCATTAAATGTATTGTTTGAAATGCTACCACCAGCTATTCATTCTTTTTCTGAGCAGCGATGCCATGACAACCCCCACGTGACCAGCTGCAAACATACCACAAGTCTCCAGGGCTTTGCTATAGGAAAGGCTTAGACTGGTATTACTCATACTTTTTTTTCCTCTTTTTCTCTCCCCCCCCTAAAAGCCCGTATTCAGAGGTGCTTTATTTTGTGCATCAAGCCTATCAGACAATTTTACCATGTGGCAACAAATATCTTCAGCTAAAATGGGACAAAGCAAAGTACGAAGAACACAAGAAAAGGGTAGGTACAGCTGTTTGATAAGGAGCGTAGGCCTTTATGAAAGAATAACCTTACCCCAAAAAAACCAACAGCAGCTCTTTTCTCATACTTAATACTGTTGTGAAAGCTGCTGATCAGCAGCCAGGTACAAGAGACATGTTTTAAGAATAATCAGCAAATTAGGCATAGCTTTTGTGTCCATTAGAGTTACCATAATGATGTTCACCAAATTTAGATGTAAAATAGATTCAGTTAGTCACTGGCTTCAAATCAGTAATAATGCAGTACTGCTCCCTCTTGAAAATAGTGAATACCATCAGCAGTGATTCAACTGTATTGCTACCTTTGGAAGATTGTATCACAATATAATTAGCTTAAATACGAAGAAATAGTTCTTCATTATTTCCAGACCGGGTCTGTTTCATTAACTGTATAAAAATATCTTCCTTCCTTCCTTCCTTCCATTGTTCCTATAATTTGACTTGCAGGTGGAAAACAGTTAAAGATGAAGTAGAGAACTGAATTTGACATATTTTTCTAACCAAATTAACAATATTGAAATAAATAAATAAATAAATAGCCTTCTGTCTGAATTAATCTCGAGAGGGTTACTAGTGTATATAGCCATGGATATTTAAACAGTGGCTTTTTTAAAGCAGCAAAATTATATTAGTGTAACTGAAATACTCTGGGCATCCACTGTGCATACAGAACTCCCCTTTGTTCAGCAAACAGAGCACTTCATATATTCATGAAGGCATTCAGAAGCCAAGAACAGAGGTTAGATATCATCAAGATAATATAGTGGAGAAATGTATTTATAGAGAACAAAATATTTCCCACAACTCAGCTGCTCTTGGATTAAACATGAGTGTGAATTTCTGAGTGCGAGCAAAGAGAAAGAGTAACTATCATGCTGGGTAAAGGACAGCTTAGGAGGTACAGCATTTTGTTCCTTATTACAGGGTTCACACCCAGACCAAGCAGTGACTAACAAGGTCTCCAATGGCCAAAGAGCGGCCTCTTCAAGTGCCCCTGTGTTGACATGCTGGCGTGCTCCTAAATTCCCACGCTAGTTGCCCAGAAATTCCAGCATGCCTTTGCTGGCATGAACTCAGGCTTGCTGCGGTGAATGCCAGCAACCAGAGGAGTAGTGCCCCTGGGCTGGGGCACCTGAAGGCAGCAGGCTGTCCTCAACACAGCCCCCTGCAGCACAGGCTTTTGCTCTGCCAAGAGAGACAGGGATTGCTCTGAGAAAATATAAGGGCTTCTGCTTGGTGAGGTGCAGGCTTTCTATTGATGGAGCTCACAAAAAAATAAACCAGAGCAAGAGTGAAAGGGGGAAGATAAGGAGCAAGGAAGAAAAAAGGTAACATTAAAAAAAGTAATAATAATAGGTACACTTCTTGGAGAGGACCATTATAAAGATGGCAAAGTTTAGGGATACATTATGATTTTCTCCATGATGCAAAGTACAAAAGCTGCCAGCATGCTTTTATGTACACAAGACCAAACACTTCCAGTCTGAATAATCTTGTCATTTTCTTAATGGAAGAAAGGAACAGGGGGAAAAAAACAGATTTATATCTCCTCTCTGCAACATTTTGCATAGAATGAAATACAAGAAAGCTTGAAAATCACCATGGCTCTGGAAAGTGCCACAACAGAGATTAGGGTGGGTTAAAAAATACCAGGTTTTATGTTTTACAGTTGTGCATGTAAGGACAAGACAGAAATTAATTATAACACTTTCCAGAAAATGAAATTATAGTGATATAAATTCCATAGAAGAAATCTTGTTTCAAAACCCACCTTTTGTTGTTTCACTTTTGATACAGTTCACATACCTATAAACTTATATCAGAGTTCACATAAATATCACGTTCTTCCCACTGCTGGTTTCCACTGACTGATGCACTAACAATTCTCTTTTACAAATTGTATCTCTTCTTAAAGTTAGTTTTAAAATAATAGCATAATAATTTAAAGCACCTGAAGAAACAGAGGAGGTAGCAGCAAGAGGAAGCCAAAATCACTAAAACCCTCAGAGATTTACCAAGTTTCTTCTGTTACTCAGGAAAAATCAGCTACTTACCATGGGGGGGGTTCTAGAAAAGATTAAGATGAGTACTCTTGTCTCCCCCTTGAAATCAGGTGGCCTGAGAGCAGTTAGCCCCTCCTGGGATCCCACCTCCTCAGAAATAATTGCCACAAAAAAGCAGCTGAGTGTTTTCACAAGAAGCCAAACAGTTCAAGTGAATTTCAGACAAAGCTAGAAACTGCTCAGCATTGTCCCAATCAATGGTGTAAATTATTCATAGAATCATAGAATCATAGAATGGTTTGGGTTGGAAAGGACCTTAAGATCATCAAGTTCCAACGCCCCTGCCATGGGCAGGGACACCTCACACTAAACCATCTCACCCAAGGCTCTGTCCAACCTGGCCTTGAACGCCACCAGGGATGGAGCATTCACAGCTTCCCTGGGCAACCCGTTCCAGTGCCTCACCACCCTAACAGTAAAGAATTTCCTCCTTATAGACAATCTAAACTTCCCCTGTTTACGTTTTAACTCATTACCCCTTGTCCTATCACTACAGTCCCTAATGAAGAGTCCTTATAGGCCCCTTTCAGATACTGGAAGGCTGCTATGAGGTCTCCACGCAGCCTTCTCTTCTCCAGGATGAACAGCCCCAACTTTCTCAGCCTGTCTTCACATGGGAGGTGCTCCAGTCCCCTGATCATCCTCGTGGCTCTCCTCTGGACTTGGTCCAACAGCTCCATGTCCTCCTTATGTTGAGGACACCAGGACTGTACACAATGCTCCAAGTACGGTCTCACGAGAGCAGAGTAGAGGGGCAGGGATATAAAAAGCAAGGAACCTGTTATAAAAGCAAGGAACCTGTCCTGGTAGTATGTATGACAGGTCTGCCATCAAATTTGCAAGCCTGGTCCTTGGCTCATCACATAGCTGCTACAGAAAGATGTGGAAAACTCCTGCTGCACTCAGGCAGTGCTTTGGTCATGTCTTTCTGTGAAGGGCTTGTGTTGGTGCTATACCTGCTGCTCTTGGCAGCCTCTTGGTTTCTAAATTGCAAGTATATCTTCTTTATATATCACTGAAAAATGGTTCTAAATAGGCTGAGTCTGCCTGAGATGGAACAGTTCAAGTCTGAGGTATGACAGAGGGAGATTGTTTATCGCATCTATTTTGGGGGGAAAAAAAAGTGATCATGGTATCATTATTTTAACTGATCCGCTCTCACTCCCTTCAATCTCCAGGATTAGAGAGAGTGGTCTCACCTCTAAATCCTGTCTCACTCCAGTCTCCATTACCCGCTTTTCTTCCACGGGATATATTCAGTGCAAGACATCTCACAGATTATTCTTCTTTCTCATATATTGCATGGCTATTTAGGCCAAGGTGGGGATAAATATTGTTGTGCCACTGCACTGTCAACTCAGAATAATTAGATTAACAATTTGCTTTTGATGATCATTCTAATGTGCTAATAAGAAGAGGCCTGGGAATCCCTTCAACACAAGAAGTCCTTTTCCAGCATTCTTATCTTATTCTGGCAGCATCCTAAATGTGCATCACTTTGGAAAACCTGTACAGCTTAGGAGTACCTAAGGCTTTCTTACACTAGTCTTTTTATTCCTGCTGGATGCCTAATAAAAACTTGCTGACTTATCTTAAACAGTCTTTCCTATATCGTAACTTCAACACAGCTGTAAATGGACTGTATGTGTTTTTACATTTCTCCAACAATAAGAGCACTTTGAATCTCAAGCAGACTTTAGAACAATTGCCTTTAACATTTTCATTTTCCACTACTTTTCTTCTGGGCAAGTCTGGCTTTGCTGATACAATGAATCATATGTTTAATAGTGCTACTGCTGGCTAACAAAACAGATCACAAGAATTTAAAGATTTCCCGTAATGATATGCAAGGGTTTTTCCAATACAAAGGGGATAAACATTTCATTTCTGTTGCAGATCCAGACAGCAAAACCATTAATGGACACAAATGCCCCTGCAATATACAGCCACCATCATCTGAAGTTAGAGAAAGATGAAGGTACAGTATTGTTTTTTTCACTGAGCACTAGCATGCTTACCTTCACATCTCCTCTCAAAGAAAATAAAGAGGCGACCAGATGGTCACAATTTCAGGGCCTTTTTTTCCCCTCAGTGCACTGATTGTTGCCACAGGACTATCAGGATCCATGAATAGCAGACTCCCAGCAGCATTAAATAACTTATTTTATCTTTATGCTTATTGATGAAATCGGATTGCTTCAGATTAACAAATGCTAAGGTGTTCAAATAGCCTCCTAAAGGGTACTTCTGTAGAACCATGAAAAAAACATCACAAATAATAAGAATAGCACAATCATCAAGATACACACTGAGCAATGAACTGAATAATAGGATGTTAGCATATTCAAAGCACAAGAAATAACAATGGGTAGCCTCGACTGGCAGTCATCCTTCAAAATCTTACTGCTCCCAAGAGGCAAATTTTATTAGAAGATGAGAGTGGAAAATAAATTGTTACCTGATTAACTCTGCTCACTAAAAGGAAACAACAACAACAATTAAAAAACCCCAAACATGAGCACAGTAGAAAATGGGTGCAGCTCAGCCCTGTCAAAGGTTTAATCTCCAAAGCAGTACCCCCCGGGCAATGGGAGTGTAGCCCATGTAAGGACTCAGAATTAATTCGCTTAAAACTGTTTATCATCTCACTGTGCCACATAATAATCCCCAGGCACCTTAAAATCACTTCATTAGCAAAACAATTCATTTCTCCTCTGTGCATAAAATCATATGCTGTATTAGGATGGGGATTCAATTGCTCTTGTTAATTCTTTCCTATTTCTGCAAAAATAACATTGACAAAGTTCCTCTGGAAATGAAACATTGCATAACACACACCCCCCCCCCCCCCCCCAACACACACAGAGGTTAACAAAAAACCCAACAGCAGGAGCCCACTACTCTCAGGCATGTTCATTTGAACTGCAGAAGTGAGACTGTGATCCTAGTCCTAGTTTCTCATCCTCCTCCTTCCCATACTGTTACAGAGGGAAAGAGGGAAAGAGAAAGAAATAGAGGAAGAAAGGAAGAGAAAGAAGGAAGGAAAGAAGGAGGGAAAGAAGAAAAGAAAGAAGGAAGTAAAAAAGGAAGGAGAGAGAGAAAGAAAGTCTGATGTTGCAATCTTCTACTAACTAGTTCTTCCTTACAACCATTCTCCTTGAGGTTATTCAGAGCCTGATGGGATTACTAAACACACCAGTTTTAGGTACCTTTGTACTACACTGTGACCAGTATCTGACCTTCTTTGATTATAAACCTGAGGTAACAAGGCAGATGCACTGGACTCTCTACAAAAACCTGTTACTCTAACATTAACCACTCCAAACTACTAGAGCAGGATGAGCAGGATTTCCTTTTCATTTTATAGAGGACTTGCAATGTCTTTGGAGTGCCTAGAATCAAATATGGGGGAAAAAGTGGAGAAAGGAGAAGAGTGAATTAGTATGCTCAAAACAAGACTATTTCTTCAGTGATTCTGTTCTGAGAGGCTTCTGGGAATGAGATGTTGAAGTCAGCTATGAAAAGCATGCTTTCCTCCATCCAGCCTCTCTCTGGTTATCTCCAGCTCAGCCCTGCTGAAGAAGGCATACCTGGGACTCAGATAACCCGGAAAATGAGTTTTTCCCTTCACCTCTTCTCCATTCCTTCCCAATCCCCCAAAACCACTTTTATAATGGATTTGTGTTGTTTGAAAAACAATATGGTAACATTTTTTACAAATCAGACAATGCCCACAGGATATCCAAAGGGATTCTCCTTCCTCTAGTGGACTCTTTCAGTTTTCATCCCCCTTTTGACACAGCTAACTTCAGAAACTGAGATTATTAATATCTTCCATTTTAAAATCAAACTTAAAGAGGCTTAAAATCATGCTAACAATGAAGAGAAATGTCTTATACTGCCTCTTACACCTCTCTCCATTTGTTCATTACACCCAGTTGTTGCTTCTCTTCTTACACTAGCTTGCAACCACTCCAGGACAAAAATGGCTTGCAGCTGGACCCAATCCGAACCTCACTGAAGTCAATGGAAAAATTACCATTTGATCCAGAGTCCACCAAAGATAATGGAAAGAGCCCCACTGACTTCAGAGGAGTCTGGATAAGTCCCATCATGTGTTTGTACACTGTCCATCACAGTCCTAGATTTTGACAAGAGTCTTTGAGGGCTGCTAGAGACACAAATGATAATGATGATCCTGGAAAACACATCAACAAATATTTATAGAAGTTCTGCTTACACTGATGAAGTGCATTTGATAATCATGCAGGCTGCTGCTGTGGTTGCAGGAGAGTACTACAGGGTCAAATGTGCTGCCTTGCAAAGGCCTTTCTCTCCCTGTGTCAGCAATAAAATGGTGACACAAAGGGTTCTCTCAACACTAGCACAGAGCTTTACCTGGCCAGTGTCTGTTACACCCAGTGTAGAGAAGGGGACAGCATTTTTGAACACCTTGTTAGGTATTCATGGTACATCACTGCTGTTTGCTATGGCCTTGTAAAGAAAAAAAGCATTTCTTTATCCCTCTTGTACACAAAGTTGGAGGAAGATCGACTTTCTGTCATCAAAAGAGACAAGCGTTTGCTGCTGGAGAAGATGTCCTGCATCAAGAGAACAAAGGGACAAACTGATAACAAAAATGACTATAAGGCAGCAGCAGCAGCACTATTTCTGTGTAGTTATCAAATTACCTTCCCAGTGACAAACATAGCTAAGGATAAACTGCTCTGTTGAGGACATGCATTTTAAAAGGCAGGCTAAGGTATAATCAGCACTTCAGAAAGCCATTTGCTTGCCCTGTCGCATGAAATCCAATGCTGGGTTATTTTCCTCCTACCCTCTGTTGAAGAGAAGATGGCTTTAAATTAGTTTTTAAGTTTAATAACTGTGGGAATGAAAAAAAAAAATAAAAAGAGGGAGAAGATTGCCCTACTTTAAGGAAATAAATGAAGCAAACCTATTATGTCTCAGTAAAGCTGTTGTTCCTGCTAAGTGAGTCATTGCTGCTGACTTTGCCAGCTGTTCTTACAGACACCACCAGAAAAAGGGAGATGCAAAGCTTAGATATGAAATAAAAACAGAGCGAAAAATAGAATTAAAATGGAAAAGAAAAGTAGAGCAGGAAGCAGCAGAAGTAAAGATAAAATTCACTCCTCAAAGGAGACAAAGCAAAATAGGCCTTGAGGATTTATAACTGTAGAGAATCACCTTACGTATTTTTGATTCAGGAGGAAATTCACACCCTGAATAGGGCACAGCAAATCAGACAGCCACAGGGACAGGCTTTTGAAGAGAATGGTTTGTATAACTGTGGTGGCAGTTGTTATCTCCTGTGATTCATTTACAGACAGACTACTTCATGACAGACAGACTGCTCATCAAGCCCTAAAGTGCCTCCAGACAGCAAAATGCAGCTCAGGAGCAAGTGACCTAGGTAGAACTCACTACACATCACTGTCCTGAATATCCTGACACTCTTCCCTGGGAAGACAGAAATTATCTGAAGGAGAGTTGGTCATATCCACATCATGCAAAATCACATCATAGAACTTATGGCTTGTCATTAGTGAATAATACCCAGATCAGTGCAGGCATCAACAAGCAACAGTTAACTCCACAGTTCAAGGTGTGATTCCAAAAGATATGGAAAGAGCAGTGCATCCGCCTCCCTTTCATTCCCTCTCTACCTTCCTGATTCAAGTGGCCAAATCTTGTTGTTTTCTTTGGACCAACTCTGGTTTTCATCAAACCTTTCCATTAGCTAATTAAACTCGAGACAGCAGCAGAAAACTGACCCAACAAAAACAATACAACCTGGATGCTTTTTCTGCCACCTTCTGCAAAGTGATGAATTCCAGGGCTGGTGCAAAGGCGTAGAAGACCACACAGCTGGGAGCAGTGGGGAGATGAGCAGGGGAAGGAAAAGAGCAAGGCCTTCCCTTTTTTGGTGGCAGGAGAGTGCTACGAGATCAGATCAGCTGCCTGCAAAATTAGAGTCTAAGAAATCACAGGAAGTTTCCAAGATGTTTGAGGCAATACGTTACCTTCATGCTTCCTAACTCGGCACATCAGATTTGTACACAAACATATAAATCAGAGTAACTGAAACTGACTGTTAAGCACCTCAGACAATGGCCATGCCCTCCCCTCAGTACTGCACTACAGCAATTCCAGGATTGGAGGGTTGGCATTAAAAAGTAGTGTTTTTCCTCCTACAAAATGTACCCAACCTCCCTATAAGCAGGGCTGCATTTGGAAGATACTGAACAAAGACAGAATCATAGAATCATAGAATAGTTAGGGTTGGAAAGGACCACAAGATCATCTAGTTCCAACCCCCCTGCCATGGGCAGGGACACCTCACACTAAACCAAGGTTTTGTCCAGCCTGGCCTTGAACACCGCCAGGGATGGAGCATTCACAGCTTCCCTGGGCAACCCGTTCCAGTGCCTCACCACCCTAACAGTAAAGAACTTCCTCCTTATATCCAATCTAAACTTCCCCTGTTTAAGTTTGAACCCGTTACCCCTTGTCCTATCACTACAGTCCCTAATGAAGAGTCCCTCCCCAGCATTCTTATAGCCCCCCTTCAGATACTGGAAGGCTGCTATGAGGTCTCCATGCAGCCTTCTCTTCTCCAGGATGAACAGCCCCAACTTTCTCAGCCTGTCTTCATACGGGAGGTGCTCCAGTCCCCTGATCATCCTCGTGGCCCTTCTCTGGACTTGTTCCAACAGTTCCATGTCCTTTTTATGTTGAGGACACCAGAACTGCACACAATACTCCAAGTGAGGTCTCACAAGAGCAGAGTAGAGGGGCAGGATCACCTCCTTTGACCTGCTGGTCATGCTCCTTTTGATGCAGCCCAGGATACGGTTGGCTTTCTGGGCTGCAAGCGCACACTGAAGCCGGCTCATGTTCATTTTCTCATCAACCAACACCCCCAAGTCCTTCTTGGCAGGGCTGCTCTGAATCTCTTCTCTGCCCAACCTGTAGCTGTGCCTGGGGTTGCTTCAACCCAGGTCTAGGACCTTCCACTTGGCATGGTTAAACTTCATGAGGTTGGCATCAGCCCACCTCATAAGCATGTCAAGGTCCCTCTGAATGGCAGAGACTATCCTCTTAAGAAAGACAAAAGGACTGGGCTGCAAGGCCCAGTTAATGATGATCATGGAGGAGCAAGTCTCCGTAGAAGAGATATAAAACCTTATAAAAGAGATATAAGACCTATTTTTCCTTGACACAAGACTGACAGACATTTCACATTCTATGTTACAGGGTGTGAGAATATGAACAAGCTTGGAGAAGTTTGATTCTGCTTATGTGGTTTTCCCTTTCAGTTGAAATGGAACAAAACGAAGGCTGGAGATGCAGAAAATGAACCAGGAGAACCGTGCCATTCTGGATAGAATTACAAAGTCCCAGCCTCAGTATCAAGTTCAGCGATGGCATGAGGATTGGCATCGAGCTGAAAAACACATGGCCAACATCGCAAGATATCCTCATGGGCGGTATAAATCACAGAGCCAAAAGGTAGCCCTGAGCTTCTGTTCTTTCCTTCACGGGTATTTCTGGATCAGAACTGCTCACAGAGCACATTTCTCTGTGCTTTTGCACTTGAGATTAACTGCACGTGTCAGCCAGCTGCACAATTAACAGCCGTTCATTTATACAGCCACTCTTACCAAATGAATCCCAGAGCGCTCTTTAGCCTTCATTAGGTGATTTGTAAGTGCTGTCGTTTGTACAATCAGACTATCCACCACGGATAGATGGTGCTCCAAGAAATAGATCTAAAAATAAGCTTTAAAAAAGAAGCAATGGCTTAACAGTTCCCTGAGAGAAACAACCAAACACTGCAGCAACATTTAAGGTGATCAAATGGGCACATGCATGGATGGCTCTAAAACCTGCAGTGGCAATTCTGTGCCATTCTTGGTTTTGTTAATAACAGAGGTAAAGAAAACAACAAAACAGCTACATGAGGTGTTAGCAAGATTTCCCATGTGTCTTGATTTGCGAGGACTGTCCTCTGTCATGCGAGTCTGAGTCAATATATATGGATGTGGTTCATATTCACTATAGATACATTCACTATATTCACTACCTTACCATTATCTCTAGCCTAAGGCCACTGAAATAAATCTTTCTTAAGCCTGTAGTTTATGAACCTATGTAAAAAGATTTTGAAGGGTGTAGCTCACCCAAATCTGTCCAAGTCTTTGGAGGACACGTAAGTGGTATTTCTTTTATCCAAGGACTATCCTTGTTCCAAGTCTCTGATCCCAGTTCTAATTCCAGAATTATGGCAAAGAAAATCCTGCAACTTTTCCCATATCAACTGTTAAGTCCTTGCTCTGCAATTGATAGGTACTAGAACATCTGTGAGAAGTAGTCACTAGGAAACACCTTTTGCCAGTCCCCATTTCAGAAATGGTTAAGCCATTTTGAAGGAACTTTAAAAGACAAATAAGCAAATCTGGTATGGATACCTGCCACAGATTTCTTCAGGTGAATGGAGGAAATCCAGTAAAGTTACAGCTGAAATTAGGATCAGTGGAAGTATTTGGCAAAATCGTAGAATCATAGAATAGTTAGGGTTGGGAAGGACCTTAAGTGTCCTTAAGGGTCCTTCCAACCCCCGTGCAATAACCTGTGCTACTGGGTGATCCCTCTGTGCTTTTACAGTTCACCTGACACCAGTCCACGGTCAACCTTTAATAAAGGACAAGTCATGCTTCTCATCAAGCATTCTTCTGCTTTCCCTCTGTTGCAATTTAAAGCTTTTTATTGGTCACTGATATGCTATAACAGCAGGAGAAAGCGAGAACCTTTTTATATAAAGGCAAGTTTTACATGTTGTTATATCAGTTGGAGAAACAATTTATCTGAACCAGCCTACCGGCTGGCCTGCCTAATGGAAATTGCTCTGACTCTGGTGGCTCGGGCAGTTCTAATGAATGAAAGAAAGGGAAAATTCTCTTCCTTTGTTCTGGAAGGGGACAGCAGCAGTATCACCAGAAAACAGTTGTCCCTTTCTTTTCTAACTGAGCTTTGGTGCCAAGGGAATAATCCTGAAAATAAATCACAGAAGGTTAGCAAATCAAGGCAGTGACAGGTTCTTTATTTTGCATACATCTATATTGATTTCTCTTTTCTAGGAAGAACAATTTAAAAACCAAACACCTGAACAAGACAGAAAAAGAGAAAATAAACTAAAACAAGAAGATGTGAAAAGTATGATGAAGGAAAAAGAAAGAGATGATGTCCATCATGGAAAGGGAAGAAACAACTAGAACAAGACAAGAGTTCCAGAAATAGCACTATTCCAGTAGTCTCCTGTGAAAGTAGCAAAAGGCTCTCACTGGCTCTGGATAATGATAGCATTTGAAAATTTCACTGTCCTCAGCCCTCTGCATTGCCTTTATTCTGAAAGTCACTCCTTTCCTGGCATGGTGGACCAGCAGAACAGGGGTTTGAGAGCTCATTTTGTGATTGCAACGCTGTGCATCAGCATACTTTGATTTCTGTAGTTTAAGTTAAAATACGGCTGTTCCTATGTGGATTACAACTTCCAGCTTCAGGAAAGATGGGAATTTGTGAGGTTGGCAATATTTTTGGCAACCTTTTCAATTAAACAGCTAAAAATTGTAAGCAGAAGTTCAGAATGAACTGGGGTGCCTGGGAGAATCAGGTGGAAGGATTCACATAGTTTAGGGTATTAGGGGTTTATATATTCTGAAAGAGTGT